ACTGGTCTGCCTCCTGCCAGTTGGGATTTTTGACCCTATTATGTTTGGTCAGCATATTTGTTTCTTTCAGCTTAAGTGGCAAGTAGCATGCCTGTGAACTAGCTAGGTGTAGCACATTGACCACTATAAACAACAACATATGAACATTTCAAATGTTTGGAGTGGCTGACATAATATTATGTTGTCAATGTGTGGTTCCACAAAATATCCATACCCATGGTCCAAAGGGGGGTTATTGGAAATTCCTGGGGGATGGGGTCTTAAAAGGCCAAAATTGTAGAAGAAAGTGTGGATCAAAACTGAGTTCCCAACGACATAGAGGGGGGTGGGTTCAAACCAAAAAATCATCCTTGGGAGGGGTATAGTTATATTCTGGAACAAGACAATCAAAACTATAACTAAGGTTAAAATAATTTAGATGTAAATAGATAAAAATCTGTGCTGATGTTCAGATGTGCAAACACTGTCACAGTCGCGAATTCCTTCTTACAAACTTGACAAAATTATTTATGAGTTTGAGAACTTAGTTACGTTGCAAGTTGTTGTGGATTGTTTGCTGTAGATGTTAAACAAGGGTAGAAACTTGCAGTTGACATGCATCCTATTCAGAAGGTGTAACCAGAAGTTAGTTGCTTGCTGAATGAGGAAAGCCTTCAAGTTGCTTATCATTCTGTGGAAACTTAAATCAGGCTCCATCAAGTCCTAGAATTTAAACAGACCCGTTAAAATATCCTCTGAAAGAGATGTTTTTGACTCCCAGTACACAGATAGCTCAGAGGATATTGAATTGCTCATGTATTTGCTTCTTATTCCCTTTGTGTGACAAACCCAATGACAGTGCCCAGCAAGTTAAGTTATGATGACCAAGGACCAAATTTGTCCTAGGAAAACTGTGAAAAATAATGAAAAAATGTAGATGAGACTGACGTCTTGTTGGTGAACTATTTCTTGTTTGCAGGCGGCAGCATCAGCTCTCGAGGCCAAGGTTGCTATGCTAGATGCCAATCATATCGAGCATATTGATGCACGTTTGCAGGTAGAAGCTATTTAATATTTCTAAGAAACATAGGAATGTTGGAGAGCATTAACAGTTCAGACTGATGGAGTGTTATAATTCATTCAGATCATTTTTTAGGCAGATGAAACCCAAGCAGAGATTATTTCAGGAAGAGATGATTTAAAAGGATCTCTTTCCTAATCTCTGT